TTATCTCTTTCTTCTTGCTGCAGTTTTTCCCTTCATTCAACATGAAGTTTCATGGTGAGGTCACCACCATTAACATGGTATCAGAGCTTCAACAGCTCTGGTAGCCATCGTTCTTGATTGCCTCTTCGTTTTCCGTTCTTGGTGTTTTTCCTTTTCTGATTTCACCAATTGCTATCTTCTTCTTCGCAATCAATTCTTTTGTTTTCTGTTTCGTATACTCCATTGATGGCTTCCCAGAGCTTCACAGATTTCCCCACCAATTCTTCGAATCCCTATTATTTGCATCCGAATGAAAATCCTTCCTTAGTTCTTGTTTCGCCTCTTCTTGACGACAAAAACTATCACATTTGGGCTAGGTCAATGCAAATTGCATTGATTTCAAAGAACAAGGAGCGATTCATAGATGGCTCGCTTCCAAAACCTCCGATTTCAGATGTTCTTTACGCTCCTTGGATCCGTTGCAATACTATGGTTTTGGCTTGGCTTCATCGTTCGATTTCGGAGTCCATTGCAAAATCAATTTTATGGATCGATACTGCTGTTGGTGTTTGGCGAAATCTACAGATCCGTTTCTCACAGGGAGACATTTTCCGCATCTCCGATATTCAAGAAGAGCTATACAAATTCAGGCAAGGTAGTCTTGATGTTTCGAATTACTTCACACAGATGAAAGTCATGTGGGATGAGCTTGAATCGTATCGTCCGATTACTGTATGTTCTTGTGCAATTCCTTGTTCCTGTGGAGCTCTTGCTTCCATTAGGAAATACAGAGAACAAGATTATGTCATAAGGTTCCTCAAAGGATTGAATGAGAAGTTTACTCAATCCAAAACTCAGATTATGCTCATGAATCCATTACCAGATATTGATAAAACCTTCTCTCTAGTTATTCAACAAGAAAGAGAGCTTAATAGCTCTCAATCAGTGGTTTCAAATAGCACTACTGAAGAGTCAACAATTTTACACTTGAACACCAATTCTGGCAACAATCATCAGAAGTTTGGTAATAGTTCATACAAGGGCAAAGGTAATGGATATGGAGGAGCAAAAGGTCCTAATCGAATTTGCACTCATTGTGGAAGAACAAATCATACAGTAGAGACATGCTTCACTAAGCATGGATATCCACCTGGATTTAGAGGTAAAGGCAAATCCACAAATTCTAATTCCCACTCTCAATCTGTTGCTTCTGTTGAATCAGGTCAAGCATCTCCAAAGCAGATTTCAACACATCCCATCAGTGGCTTCACTCAAGAGCAATATCAAAGCATCTTGGACTTAATTCAACAGTCAAAGACCAACCCTACAGCCAATTCTATCTCAACATCTCCTTTTGTCCTGAATTCTCACTCAAGTCATGATCCTGGTAAGAATTCCCATCTATGGATTCTTGACACAGGTGCTACTGATCATATAGCTTTTGATTTATCTTGTTTTAGCTCATATAAAACTATAGTTCCTATTCATGTTAGTTTACCAAATAGTTCTACTGTCACTGCCTCTATTTCTGGAAGTATTGTCCTCTCTCCTACCTTGATCCTTCACAATGTTTTACATATCCCTAGTTTTCATGTCAATTTACTCTCTATTGCCAAACTCGTTCAGAACAGTGATTGTGTTGTTAACTTCACTGATAATTCATGCCACATTCTGCAGAATCATTCCAAGGAAATGATTGGTACAGCTAAACTTCAAAGAGGTCTCTATGTGCTTGATTCTTCTCAACATGACCATGCTTGTAATTCTTCCATAATAGATAATTCATATCTTTGGCATTTAAGACTAGGACACATTTCTGCTATAGGTTTGCAAAATGTATCAAAAATATTTCCCTTTATTCCTTCAAAATGTAATACTCAATTTCCTTGTGATCCTTGCCATTTTAGTAAACAAAAGAGGTTATCTTTTCCTCATAGCACTACTTTATCTAAGGCCCCTTTTGAATTGTTACATGCTGACTTATGGGGGCCATTCTCTACCATTTCAATGCTAGGACATAAATATTTCATTACTCTTGTTGATGACTATAGTCGATATACTTGGGTAATTTTTATCAAAACCAAAGACCAAACAAAAAACAGTATTATTCAATTTCTAGCTTTCATTGAAAATCAGTTCCATACAACTTTAAAGCAGTTCAGATCAGATAATGGCACTGAGTTCAATGCCTTATCTGAAGTTTTCTTATCTAAAGGTATTATTCACCAAAAGTCATGTCCTTACACACCCCAACAAAATGGAGTGGTGGAAAGAAAACACCAACATATCTTAAATGTAGCTAGATCACTATATTTTCATTCCAAAATTCCCATTAATATGTGGAGTTTTTGTGTCCAACATGCCATTCACATTATAAACAGATTGCCCACCCCTCTTTTAAAGCTCAAATGTCCATATGAAATCTTGCATGGTCAGCCTCCTTCTCTAATTCACCTTAAAGTGTTTGGTTGTTTAAGCTATGCTGTTTCCAATCAAATTCATAAAGCCAAGTTTGATCAAAGGGCAAGAAAAACGGTTTTCTTAGGATTCAAGGATGGAACCAAAGGTTACATTTTGTATGATTTACAAACTCATAATCTTTTTGTGTCTAGGCATGTGGCATTTTATGAAAATATGTTTCCTTTTGCTGTCACACATCCAAATCATACTCAGTCTTCACATCCTAGTCATCCTACTCAAACTGTACCACACAATTATGCTGATGTTGATTTGTCACACCAGCCTCCTATTTCTACTGAGCCACAGTCTAATTCTCCTAGACCTGACAGCTATACTTCACAGCAGAGCAGTCCTTATGACCAACCTTTATCTGTAGATACTCAATCTACTCCTTCTTCCAATGAATCTATTGATTCTACACCAGTCCTTAATCCTGGCCCCCACACCCTTCCTTTTAATATACATAACAATTCTGAAAATCATACCAACATATCTCAACCTAATCTTAGGCAATCTAATCGTGTTTCACATCCTCCAAGGTATTTAGAGGATTACCATTGTTACCACACTACTGATAATCCTTCTACTTCATTTTCCAATTCTACTAAGTCTATCATTCATTATCCTCTTTCTTCAGTCATATCATATAAGCAATGCTCTCCCTCATATAAATATTTTTGTTGTGCTATTTCATCCATTTCTGAACCCACCACATATAAACAAGCCATTAAACATGACTGTTGGGTTAAGGCCATGGATGTGGAGCTTAAAGCTCTTGCAGAGAACCATACATGGGTTGTGGTTGATCTTCCTTCTGGTAAGGTGCCTATTGGTTGTCGTTGGGTGTATAAAGTTAAACATAAAGCAGATGGATCCATTGAAAGATACAAGGCCAGGTTAGTAGCCAAAGGCTACACTCAAATGGAAGGTATCGATTATTTTGATACATTCTCACCTGTAGCCAAGCTTACCACTGTTAGAGTTCTTCTTTCTCTTGCAGCTATCAAAGGGTGGTTTCTTGAACAGTTAGATGTTAATAATGCTTTTCTTCATGGAGATTTGCATGAAGAAGTTTATATGAATCTCCCCCCTGGCTTGTCTGGTTATGATTCATCCAAAGTTTGCAAGTTACAAAAATCACTGTATGGCTTAAAACAAGCCAGTAGACAATGGTATTCCAAATTATCTGCTTTTCTCATCTCTCTTGGATATACTCAGTCACAGGCTGATTATTCTCTATATGTCAAAAATGATGCACCCCATTTTACTGCCCTACTGGTCTATGTTGATGATGTTGTTTTAGCAGGGAACTCTTTAGCTGAGATCAAACTTGTTAAGTGTTTGCTACATGACAAGTTCAAAATTAAAGACCTAGGCCAGCTTAGATATTTTTTGGGATTTGAGATTGCCAGATCTAAAGAAGGCATATTTTTGAATCAGAGGAAGTATACTCTTGAGTTATTGCAAGATGCTGGGTTTCTTGCAGCAAAACCTTCTTTGGTTCCTTTTGATCCTAATGTCAAACTATCTGTCAATGAAGGAGATGACATAGAAGATCCTTCAACTTATAGAAGGTTGATTGGAAGACTCATTTACCTCACTAATTCAAGGCCAGACATCTCATACTCTGTTCAACATCTCAGTCAATATATGTCTCATCCTAAAGTTCCTCATTTTCAGGCTGCCACCAGAATTTTGAGGTACTTAAAATCGGTTCCAGCCACTGGTATTTTGTTTTCTGTTTCTAGTGACTTAAAGCTACTTGGCTTTGCTGATTCAGATTGGGCTAGATGCCCTGATACTAGAAAGTCTATTACAGGATATTGTGTAATGTTAGGATCATCCTTATTGTGTTGGAAGTCAAAGAAACAACATACTGTTTCCAGATCTTCCACTGAAGCTGAATATAGGGCATTGGCCTCTATTACTTGTGAAATACAGTGGTTACAGTATTTGTTCCATGATCTTCTTGTTGATTTTCATCAGCCTGCCTCCATCTACTGTGATAGCAAGTCAGCAGTGTATTTGGCTCACAATCCAACATTCCATGAAAGAAGCAAACATATTGAATTGGATTGCCATGTGGTTAGAGAGAAAATACAATCCAAACTTATCCATTTGCTTCCTATATCAACTCATGACCAGTTGGCTGATATGTTAACCAAGCCACTTCACTCTCCTGCTCTAAAGAAGACTTTAGCCAAGTTGGGACTTTGTTCTATCCACAGTCCAACTTGAGGGGGGCTGTTAGTCTAGATAGTATAGTTTATTTATCAGCTTTGTACATTGTATAGGCTAGTGTATACATATATATATACACTCTTGTAAATGCCTTAAACAATCAATAAAAAAAAAGAAAGATTTTGTTTTTGCTTAACAACTTTCTGTTAGCTCTTTTCTTGCTGCAACATTCTGTTATCTCTTTCTTCTTGCTGCAGTTTTTCCCTTCATTCAACATGAAGTTTCATGGTGAGGTCACCACCATTAACAGTTATCAAATCACACAAATTTGTCTACTCACTAAAAAGTTTTAAATCTTTTTATTTGGTGTCTTTCAAAAAATGTCTGAAAGAATTTCTATTGAAAATATTGAAGACAAAATCTTAAAGCGCAAAATGATAGAAGAATCAGAGACAACACTAAGAAAGGAATCAAAGAATATAATAACATTCTTTGAAGCAGATTCTGAGAATGACAAAATGGTAGAAGTGGTGGAGTCAAAGCTGTACAAAGAATATAAGGTAATAACACCATCCATTCAATCTGAAGATTTATTTACCGTAAGACTTGGGAGCAACACTAAGCCAACTTCGAATCTCTTAGAGAAAAATGAATATTCAAGTTCATCGCAAAATGTTATGGCTGAACTTTTATCTCAACAGGAAGTGAAAAAAATTTCTTGTCTTTTTTGTAACAAGAAATTTTCAAATTTACAAGCTCTTGGAGGACATCAAAATGCTCATAAGAGTGAACGTAACTTAAAAAAAATGGAGCAAAAGAAAAGAGAGGAAGAAATGGATTCCATTATAAGGTATAAACTTAATTTTTCATACCCTTATCCTTATCCTTATTCAAGCCCTAGTCACTATCAAGGATATCCTTATTTCCGTGACAACTTACAACACACAGTTCACTCTCAAATGAATAATATCATGCCTTCTCTGTTTGGTTCTCCATCTGGTGGTTATGGAGGGATGCATATGCCAAATACACCCTCCTCATTGCCTCCATTTTTTATGCAAGTTTCAAAGCCACAACTCACACGAATGACTAATTTTTTGGGTGGAAATCAAGCTTCTGCACTTTCAATTCCTCTAAGATCAAATAGTGTGGAATTGAGACTCTCTAGTCAAGTTAATCAAACTCCTTCATCTAGTAAGGATGCAGAAAGAAACTCAGATGTTAAATTTCTTTCTCATGATCTTCCAATAAAAACTCATGATTTTATTGGAGGAAACCAACTTTTAACTGATGCAAATGTGTCTTCATCGTCCACAACTGAATCAACATTGGAGGAACTTGACTTGAATCTCAAACTTTAAAATTTTCTATCTGACTAATAAAAATACAGTAGACATGTACTGTGAGATCACGTTTTCATTATCACTTTATCGTTTGATTTATGTTTTGTTGCTTTGGTTTATTTTCTTATGCATCTTAATGTACTTTGTTTCATCAATGAATAAAATCTAAGTTTTCTTTATTAATATTAATAGTTTTAATTATTAAGTAGATCAATTATTATGATCTTTGTGTAATGGTTCATCACTTATCCAAAAATCTGCATGTGAATTTCGTAAATTAAGAATGAAATTTTTAAAATAAATTCTGAACAATTTTCTAATCAAACAAAATTTTAAGGCTACATTGGAAGGATCGTAGCAAGGTGAAAAATCAAATTACATAACTCAAGAGTTATGTAATATTAGTTTGGTTATTTTGTTTAATATTTTTTATTAAAAAATACTTGTTATATGAAATTCGATTGTTAAATTGAAAGTTTATGTTATATAAATTAGCTAAGTGAAAGTTTTATTTAAAAAATTAAATAGTTCAATATGTAATTGAGATGTATAAATATCGACATTATATAAAATAAAATCGTTTAAGATGTTAGTTTTGATTATCTCCTGAATAGTATGGAGAATTAAAAATGCTAAGGAAGTGATTTATCACTTAGCTAAAAATTTATGGACTTGTGTGTGCGCGCGCGTGTGTGCGTGCGTGTGCGTGCGTGTGTGTGTGCGCGTGCGTGCGTGTGTGTATGGGCGTGCGCGCGTGCGTGTGTGTGTGCGCGTGCGTGCGTGTTTTCGTGTGTGTGTGTGGGCGTGCTTGCATGCGTGCATGTGTGTGTGCGCGTGCGTGTGTGTGTGTGTGTGCGTGTGCGTACGTGCGTGTGTGCGCGTGTGTGTGCGTGTGTGCGTGTGAGTGTGTGCGTGTGCGTGCGCGCGTGCGTGCGTGCGTGTGTGTGTGCGCGCGCGTGTGTGCGTGTGAGTGCGTGCGTACGTGCGTGTGTGTGTGTGCGCGCGCGCGTGTGTGTGTGTGTGCGCGTGTGCGTGTGTGTAATGAATATATAGCTATAAATATAATCAACAAAGTGTTGGGTTTTTTCATACTTGTGCGCTTAAAACTCTATAACAAATAACACTTATAACCTCGGACGCAAAATGCGTTTTACCTCAGCAAAAGAAGTGTGATAACCAAGGTTGTCATGAAAAGTCTCCACTTAACACCTCGGTGTTTCAAAACCTAAGGGGTATAGTTATATGTATATGAGTTTGAACCCCAAGAGCCTCGCTTTTATTATTTTCAAAACTAGCGTATCTTTTATCTCGGTTTCTCCAAAACACCGAAGGATATATATATATATATATATATATATATATATATATATATATATATATATATATATATATATATATATATATATATATATATATATATATATATATATATATTTTTTTTTTTTTTTTTGTTTTTAAAGTTGTTACATTGTTTACCCAGAATAGTACATTGCCTACACGGAATATTAAAATTAAAATAAAATTCAAATTCCATATGATGGTTCAAGATGAAAATCAAATTCTCTAGGGTGGTTCAAGATAAATATCAAATTTTCTCAAGATTTAGATTTAGGTCTTCATATTATTGAATCTTGGGGAAGATCTTCTATTGGATCTTACATGAAATTATTTGTGATAAAAAAGGTAATTAATATAAAAATAATATAATTATCGATTCAAATAAATATTTAAAAAAACAAACCTTGAATCCAGAAAATTTTCTCCACTTGTAATCCATCGTAGAAATATGTTGTAGCAACTCTTGCAATCCAACCATGAACTTTGAACCCAGAAAATTTTCAAGCGCTACATATATTTTATTTTAGTTAGATTTTCAATATTCAACATACTTTTATAATGGATGTCTCTTAGGTTTCACGCTGATCACTAATGGTAGCATCTTGACCGTTGGTAACTATTAAATGGACGAGAAAGATTTGTTAAGGCCGGTGAATATAGTACAGAAAAAACACTTAACTATCACCTTGGTCATGACAAATCACCGAGGTGAATAAATTATTTATTTATTTATTTAATAAATTTTTTTCACAGAATATTAAAAATATGTTGTACGCAAGAAATCTTCGCTGATATAAAAGATTTAGATGCTAGAGGTCCTATACAAGCTGCTAGAGAATTGTTTCCAAGGCCAATGAGAATTTTTATTTTGTGCACTTGCAATCCATCCAAAAAATATGTTGTAGCTGTTAAATTGTAATTCATATGTGTCAAAATTAGATTTGATTTTGTTTTAGATTTAAATAGATTTGAATTTAAGTCTAGAATAGATTTGATTAGATTTGATTTAGTAAAAAGATATTTTGGGCTTGGGTTTTAGCTTAGGGAGAAAGCTAACCTAAATCTATAAATAGAGGGAGTAAACCTTATTTTGTAATCAAGTCATTCACAGTATTTTTGCAGTTGCAAAGTGAATAATAAAATTTCCACAGTTTGTGGGCAGAGAGAAACTCTGCAGAAATATCTCTATTGTCTTTTCTTTGTTTGTCTCATAACTAATCATCAGTGGTGGTCGAAATTCATCATAGAGTATTGGTGGATTTCCAACATCTGGTATCAAGAGCTTGTGTTTCAATTCAAGGGAAGTGTCAATCAAGAACGATTGAAGAATTCACGATGACAAGTTATGGGAATGCAAACTATCCAGCAACGCTGCCAATTCTGAAAGTTGACAACTATGAGAATTGGTGCAAACAGATGAAAGTCCTATTAAGGTGTCAAGGCCTTTGGGACCTTGTAAAAGATGGAGTCGAAACGCTTGGCGAAAACGCTTCAGAAGAAGAAAAGAAGAAATATACAGAATCTGAGAAGCAGAGTTATAAAGCATTATTTATAATTCATCAATGTGTCAGCCCAGACAATTTCGAAAAGATTAGTGATTCAGAATCTATAAAAGAAGCTTGGGAGATCCTTGAGAAGTCTTTTGGAGGCGCTGAGAAGGTGAAAGAAGTGAGGTTACAAACTCACAAAAGGACCTATGAACTGCTTCAGATGGAAGACAGTGAAAACATATCTGATTTCTTCACTAGAGTTACAAAACTAGTGAATCAAATCAAGGCATGTGGAGAAACATTAACAACAAGAGTTGTTGTTTCGAAGATCTTGAGATCTTTAGCTCCTAAGTTCGACCACATAGTGGTGGCGACCGAAGAGGGGAAAGACTTGTCGAAATTGACAAAGGAAGAGCTTCAAGGGACGCTCGAATCTCATGAACAAAGAATGAACGAAAGAGCTGCAGGAAAATCGAAGAGTGATGTCGCCTTACAGGCACATTCAGCAAAAGAGACCAAAGGCAAAGGAAAGTATTTCGACAGAAGTAGGGGTGGCTACAACAAATCGAATGGTAGAGGAAACCAAATCTAAGGAGACGTGTCGAATCAAAGAAGACCACACCAAGGCAACCAAAGAGGTGGTGCTGCAAACAGAGGAAGAGGTGGTGGTCGAAAACCTGATAAAAGTCACATTCAATGTTACAATTGTAAGAAATATGGACACTATTCGAGTGATTGTCCAGAAAAATGAAAGAATCAAGAAAGTGATGCAAAGCTTGCAAAACATGAAGAAGAAGAAGAAGAAGAGATGATGCTGATGGTCACAACAAAAGATGAAGATAGATTCAAGGACCAATGGTACTTGGATTCAGGATGTTCGTCACATATGTCTGGAAGGAAAGACTGGTTCGTCAATATAAAACCCTCAACGAAAAATATGGTAAAATTTGCAAATGACAACACCCTAGCAGTTGAAGGTATTGGTGATGTTATGATCATGAGGAAAGATGGCAAGAAGTCAGTAATTTCGAATGTATTGTACATACCAGGCATGAAGAACAATTTGCTCAGTATAGGGCAGTTGGTCGAAAAGAATTATAAAGTGTCAATCGAAGATAAGTTGATGAGAGTTGTTGATGCAAATGGGAGAGTAATCTTGAAGGCTCCTATGTCTCAGAATCGAACCTTCAAGATTGAACTAAATGTGATGGAGCACAAGTGCCTTTCGACTGCAGCTAGCAGAGATGAATGGATATGGCATTATAGACTAGGTTATCTCAACTTCAGAGACATCAGAGATTTGAAGAGAAGAAATATGGTTTCAGGATTGCCTGAAATTGGCATTCCAAACGAAGTATGTGAAGAATGTGTGCAGGCGAAGCAACACAAGAATAGCTTCAGCAAGGATGCAGGAAGCAGATCGAAGGCTAGTCTCGAAGTCATATACTCTGATGTATGTGGACCAATCCAGGTGGATTCGATGGGAGGTAACAAATACTTTGTTACATTCATAGATGATTTCAGTCGAAAGCTATGGACTTACCTGATCAACAAGAAAAGTGAAGTGATCGAAGTATTTACAAAGTTTAAGTCCATGGTCGAAAGACAAAGTGGTCGAAAGCTCAAAGTTTTGAGAACTGATGGTGGTGGAGAATATGTGTCGAAAGACTTCGACAGATTATGTGAAAAGGAAGGGATTGTGCATGAGGTGGTGCCACCCTATACTCCACAGCAAAATGGAATTGCAGAAAGGAAAAATTGAACCATCATGAATATGGTGAGAAGTATGTTGAAAGGCAAGAATTTACCTAAAGAGTTCTGGGGTGAAGCTGTTTCGACTGCAACTTATATTTTGAACAGATGTCCTACAAAGAAGCTAGAAGGAATTACTCCAAAAGAATGTTGGTCTGGTGTGAAGCCTAGCTTAAGCCATCTGAAGGTATTTGGATCTATTGCACATAGACATGTGCCAGATCAGTTGAGAAGAAAACTTGATGACAAGTTAAGTCAAATGATCCTAGTTGGATATCATTCGACAGGAGGCTACAAGTTGTTCGATCCAGAGAACAAGAAGATTATGATCAGCAGGGACGTGATCATAGATGAGTTTAAAGAATGGGATTGGACTGTAAATGTCAAGAAAGATTCAGTGGGAATCTTATTCAAAGAGCCAGAAACTCAAGTCGAAAG